TTCTATTGCTGTTCAACAAGTTACCATTAAAGTGTTTTGCATATTTTCAAGCTTCAAGAATACCAGAGAACTGAGAGAAAATAACAAATGTAGTTGTATTCTACTTGCAAAAAACAGGACTGGTGAATCACAGACTTCTAGTTAACCTACAGCTTAAGTATTCAGTATTTGAGTTACTGAGCTCTTTATTATCTGTAAGTAAACAAAGTTTGTTTTGGACCTAAAAAAAAAAGATTCTTCTGTCTGGTGAGGAGGCTACTTTAGGGCAGGAGGTCTGATGGCCATAAGGGACATTCCACAGAAGGGAGGGGCGGGACTTTGCTATGTTTTATGCATGCAGGTGGCTCTCTTTATAATACCCTCATTATGTGTTTTCAGAAACAAGCAAAACAGAAACAAAGCTCTCCCTTTCTGAGACTCTCTGTGGGAACTCTGAGAACCTCTTGGCAGCGTGTTGGTGCCTCTCTTTCTTGCTCAGGCCCTTTGTGTGGGCTCTGTTTTGCACACAGTGCTGTTCCCATGGGGACTGAAGCCTCCAGAATCTCCCCACACTCACTGCTCCAGCAACTGGCTAGCAAACCTCCCTTGGGGGAGTACAGGGTCCTCAAAGAGACGGCAGGGGGCCACTCTGATGGTGGTGGGCCTTGGGGCTCCTTGTCGTCATTTAGTTCCCAAGTCTCACAATGGCTGCTAGAGTAGCCATCACCCCCATTACTTACCCTATAAGACAGAAATTGGCAGTAAAATTGGAAATGTTACAGCCAAAGGAAGTTCTGTGTTGCATGATTAAATACAGAGAAACCTGCAGCCTGCCTGCGTCATTTCCCAGCATCATCGTGGGAATGATGATGCCTTGATTTAAGGTTCAGTGTCCACTCTTCTCCGCTCCAATGTCAGGTCAGCAGTGACAGCACAGGTCTAACACCTAGGAATCACCCGCCCCTGGGCAAATCCAAGCACCTTTGGCATGCCTGCTGTGGAGCGTGGAGCCATCTGTGCTGGTCCGAGTCTGAAGAGCTCTGAAACCAAGCTCTTTCATCTTCCTACAGGGAGGGAGGCTGGCCTCCGTCAGGTGTAGATTTGAGGAACCTGTGTTTCCCAAATGAAGGAAGGAACCATCTTCAGGAGCCGCCACGGGGAGCTTGGCAGCCAGGCACTGGTCATCTGCTAGTGGATTTATTTCAATGCTTGAAGATGGGTCCCTGTGGACACACAGGGCTACAGTGGCTATGATGACACCCCAAGAACTTCCACTTCTTTATTCGACAAATACAGAGACAAGGCACGGAGCTGACCTCATCTAAATGTGCCCATTCCTGCTTTGTTCTTGGAAAGTCTCCACGCTGCCCATGCAGTAAGGCAGTGCCAAAGCCAGGGCTCACCCCCAGTCCTAACTGCCCACTCCGGGCTTCTGCTAGGCCATGCTGCCTGCCCCGCTATGCAGCGTTACATCATGGAGCCCATGGTGTGGTGAAGGGTATAGGAGACACTGTGTGTCTTTAACTCAACAGCAGCAGTCCTTAGGAGACTTGGAGGAAAATGTCATGTCATCTTCAGGAGCACCAGAGGGCTGTATAGTGGCATGAAGGTCCATGTACCCTGAAGTGGTACACAGCAGGGGCACGCAGGAAGTGGAGGGGTCATCGTGAGCTGCCAACACCCATATTTTGCTGCTGTCTTCCCTCCCAAGCGTGTCCCCACTGCATGGACGCGGAGCTGTGCATGCCTCTGTGGAATGCCCACCTCACCTGGAGGACTGCAGTGGGAAGACACCATGTGATGTCCCTCATCTTGCCTCCGGCAACTGCAAGGCAAGACATCATGCTTCTTTTATGGATGAGGACGGCGAAGTTCAGACAGGGAAGTACCCATCTCATGTTCACAGGAACAGACAAAGTTGGGACTAACATTTGAGGCCGCACTGTGTGGCTCTAGGTTTTATTCTCCTTCCCCATCTTGCCTTCTTATTATTTCCGAGGAGGAGAACTGTATTCTGATGCTTGCTTCGAATAAGCCAAACAAACAGGAAAGAGCAGAGAGAACCGCTATTCCTGGATGTCTGGCCAGGGAGGCTGTCAGGGTTGTGAGGGAGGGCTCTGCAAGGCTGTGAGGTTGAGCCCTGGGGCCGGGGTGCCTTCTGTGCTCCCCACAGACCTGCACAGAGCTTCTCAAGCTCCAGAGCTTTCCTCTGAGCCCATGTTGAGGAAGAAACCCTCCTATCAGTTCCCAGATTCTTAAAATGTGTTTTTTTTTTTTTTTGAGAAGGAGTTTTGCGCTTGTCGGCTGGAGTGCAATGGTGCGAGCTCGGCTCACTGCCATCTCTGCCTCCAGGTTCAAGCAATTCTCTTGCCTCAGCCTCCCGAGTAGCTGGGATTAAAGGCACCTGCTACCATGCCCAGCTAGGTGTTTTTTTTTTTTTTTTTTTGTAATTTAGTCGAGACAGGGTTTCACTATGTTGGCCAGCTGGTCTTGAACTCCTGACCTCAGGTGATCTACCCGCCTGGGCCTCCCAAAGTCTGGGATTACAGACATGAGCCACTGAGCCCGGCCTCAGCTCCCATAGTCATCTCCCTTTGCTCTCTTTCTGCCTGACCCAGTGGGCTCTTCTCAGGTCTTGAATTAGGCACTTCCCTGGTGCCTGTAGAAAAGTAGCCTCTTCAAGCCTGGAATGTTCTCTCCCTATTCCTCTCTCCCACTCATCCTCTTCTCCTAGCTAGTTTCTAGCACTTTCTTTCTAGATTCAGAAGCTGCTTCCTCACGGTGGGAGTCTTTCTGGAGTACCATATTTACACCCCAGTGTTCTTGGAGATAACAGGATCCTGTCCCCAGGAGGCAGCCAGGGAGGGTGAGGCCTCCTCTAGACCCATTCATCTCTGTATCCTGGGCCACCACCAGCCTGGCTACAGGGCAGGGGAAACATGGGACCTTACTGAATTTAAAAATGGGCTGGAGACTCCTGTTAATGAGAACAGAGGGCTCCTTAATAGACATAGTGATTTTATTACCTGCAATCAACAGGAAAATCGGGTGCTGAAGAACCCACTAAATGTAGAAAACACCAGGAGAAGAAACAGGAAAGCCAGCGGGTCATCAGACTTGCTGCGTAGCCCTGGAAGGCTCACTGTGCCCTGAACATTTCCAGGAAGATGAGAGCAGTGATGTTTAGCACCTCATCTGCCACCCGGCGCCTTATTCTTAATCCAAACTTCAAATCCGCTACAGAAAAATACCGTTCCAATGCTTCTCACTGGAGGTTGCTTTGTATTCTGGTGCCATCAGGGTTGAGCTTATCCATTAAGGAGTTCATCCACCTATAGGTGACCCCTGACTCCTTCCTGCATGCACTCCCAAGCCTCAGTGAAAACGTCCTAAGAACTGGGATTTCTGACATATATAACAAACCTGCATGTTCTGCACATGTACCCCAGAACTTAAAGCACAATAAAAAAAATTCCCAAAACGTATTAAAGCCTATTTTAAGTGCTGTAACACATATATTATTGATCCATTATACTACTTAAAAAAAAAAAAAAAAACAAGGATTACACCTCTGAAAAAAAAAATCTCGGGACCCCAAACTCACTAAAAGTTAAGCCTGGAAACTGAGTTATGCAAGAAACAGCCTGCTGTTTGTTCCCACATAGATGGCTGCAACATAGAAGGATCACACAGCACCCTAGGCGGCCTCCCTTACAAAGGCTCAGGAAAAAATTCCTCCCGGGCCCTGAAATCTTTCAGAATAGACACCCCCCGAAACTAACCCAAAAACAAAGTTCTGTTGACTCTCCCCCTGGCAATGCAAATTAGTAGCTGATTTTCACAGGTAACAGACAAAGACAAGATGGGAAATCATCCCTGGGCCCTCCCAGAGGAAGACATCATGGAGTTTCCTGACTCAGCTCTTTTCACATGTAAAATATGGTTTCAACGAGCATGAATCAAAGCCTCACAAGAATGTAACCACCTCCTGCCTGGTCCATTTCTCTTTTTATTCCTTTTCCTCCTTTCCCTACTGTATATTCTTTCTCCTTCCAGTATTGAAGTCCTTAAAACTCTCTTTGGAAATAGCACAGGCCACGGATCCTCCTGTAACTCATGTTTCTTTTTCCTGGGCACATCCTCACCCTTGGAAAATAAACCTCTAACTTGATTGAGACCTGTCTCAGACGCTTTGTGGTTTACACATCTCAGACATCTGGGAAATGCCACAGCACTAAGCACAGGGCTCTGCGCACGGTGGATGCCCAGGTACATGTTTCTCACGTTAAGTCCAAATGTAGACACATCTGCTTCCTCTTGCACTTCAGCAATACTGAAGACACCTCACGACATCTCGCTTCGAAAGCCATGTCAATATTTAACTGAATTGCAGTCTTTTCAAGTCTAGCTAATCCATTTGGATAAACACTCCATGACATTCCCATTTCCATCCATTCTAATGGATGGACTCAAGTCTTTGGTCTGCTCTTGTGCATAACTCCTAAATCCTCTCACACTCATGATGTATCTGATTCTCTGAAATTCTAAGAGCCTTGGAAGGCTGTCTGGGAAGCTGAGTGCAGGGAAACGGTGGGCATGTGGGATGCATGGTTTAATGCTGCCTCTTGGTTTGAGCCTCCATCACGTGCTGGCCAGGCAGGCCTCCTCCCACAGTGCGGAGAGGGCAGGGGCTGCTTTGGGGACATATTTGGGACCCTAGTGCCTCATAATGGACATTCAGAACTTTACATGACTGGGGAAGAAATCTTCTCTAATAATGAATCCAACTCCAAGCTCAGACTTTTAGAGGTCCTTCTAACCCACTATTCTCAACTGATGTCTCTCCCACCAATCAGTATCTTCTTGAAAACTGAAAAATTCAAGCCAATTTTGGCCATTTTGAACACTCAGATGAGTGAAGTACTGCAGCCTTTATGCCAACGAAGAAGCGTTCAGCCCTCACCCAGGTCATCACCGCATCCAGCCCCTATCTCCCAGCCCCCAGCCCCGCGTGGTCTGACCTCATTCTTCAGGCTCCTGGCCAGGAAGTGCTCAGCCACATGTGCAGGAAGCACGTTCTCCAGCAGCACGCGGTTCAGGTTCTCCATGGTCTCTATCTCCTCCCGCTCTTTTTTGAACTTGTTCTTCCATAAGAAGTCTAACCTACAGTAATATTCATTCTGTTACAAGAGGACACAGAGGTAAAGAAACAATAGGCATCTTGTCCCGCCAGAGAGTGGAGGTTTCAAAGAGAAAACAAAAAGAACAAAATGCAACCTAAAAAAGAACCCCCAAACAGAACTGCCACCCCCTAGGAAGCCCTCTGTTTCCCTGAAATGTCCTTCAGTCAACCTCTGGCATAGATTTGCAAAAAATAAGAACCAGCCTCAGAAACAGGGAAATCAGCTATATGGAGGCTTAAATTCAAAGTGCTATTAAAGCTTCCTGCAAATTTATGCTAATAAAAGATGGCTCAAATGATTTTTTGAAAAGAGGCATAGAATGTAACTATTGCAAAATATGGACTTTGTTTTTCTACCTGGGATTGTGCTGTTCTGACAGAATGCCATTCATTACATTTAGAGAAAAGTTCATTTTGATATCATTTAATTAAGATAATGCCTGCTAGTACAAACATGTTTTCATGCTTTATAATGTATTAAAATATAATGTATTTTAAAACGAGTTATTATTAACATTGTAGGAATAGAGAGGCCCAATTACTGACAAAGAGTCTTTTGGGCCTTGGCATCATTTTGTGCCTCCTATGATGTAAATAATTTAATATAATGAAATAGCCTTGAGTGGATCCTTCTGTAATAGAAGGGCTTAGTGGAGAGTGTGTATTTCACGCAGATAGTCACTTGCTGCCAAATAAATGTGAAGAAGATCTAACTGCAAGTTTTTGGTTTGTTTTGTTGAGTTGTACCAATGACAGTACAAAGTAAAACAAAACACACACACGTGCACACCAATGGCCTCTCATGCACAAATGGGAATTTTTTTAAAAAAGTTAAAATCCACATTTTGTAATTTGAAAGAACAATAATCATTCATTAGTTATGTTTGATTCAAATTATCTGCCATACATTAGGAAAAAGTTCCTCCTCCTCCTCCTCCTGTGGTGTGGCATTTATGTTTATCTCACGTAGTGAGCCATTTTCAAAAAACTGCAAAAAAGATATTTTAAAAGTCTGTTTATATTTGGCCAGGCATGGTGGCTCATGCCTGTAATCCCAACACTTTGGGGGGCTAAGGTGGGAGGATCAATTAAGGTCAGGAGTTCTAGATTAGACTGGCCAACATGGCAAAATCCCATGTCTACTAAAAATGCAAAAATTAGTGAGGCCTGGTGGTGCACACCTGTAGTCCTAGCTACTCAGGAGGCTGAGGCAGGAGAATCACATGAACCCAGGGAGTAAAGGTTGCAATTAGCCGAGATTGAGCCAGTGCACTCCAGCCTGGGCAACAGAATAAGACTCTGTCTCAAAGAACAAAATCCCCAAAATAAAAGTTTGTATTTAAAGTTTCATGTTCATGCCACATTTTCAAAACCATGGATTGATAGAAATTAAGCTGTACATTGACTAGAAAAGCCTTCTCACTTGAAGAATGGATTAAAAAAAAATAAATCAATGGTGTGTCTGGCTTTAAACTGAAATGATAGATGCAACCATCTATCAATCATCTAGCTTCTCAATGCCCCTACCAGCAGCTTCTCAATGCCCCCACCACTGGCTTCTCAGTGCCCCCACTCAATGCCCCCACAGGTGCACACTCAAGATTAGACAAGCGTGAAGCATGAGATGAAACCACCACCAAGGCAGCAGTTAAGGCAGCAAGTCCGACCCAAGGGAGCAGGAAAGTTTTTCATATGCCATGCTAGGATGTTGCTCAGGTTTTCAGAGCCATTGTTGTTGCATAACAGGTAAGCATTTTGTAAGTCTCCTACTAAAAAAAAAATCACAGTCTTTTGGAACCAGCTGTACTGAACTGAAATGACACTTTGCCAAATCAATTAATCAGTCTCCCTACCTACTACCTACGTTTCTATCCATCTATCACTCATCTATCACCTTCCCAAGCAATGCAATCTGTTTAGAATCCTCTGCCTTATGTAGCTGGCCCATTACAACTCACATGAAGGGTGCCTCAGAAAAGATTTAAAAAAAATTCCCAATCAAATGTAATGGATTGAATAGTAATCCTCCAAAAGATAGTTCCAAGTCCTAGCCCTTGGTATTTGTGAATGCCTGATTTGGAAATAACATCTTTGTGGATGTGATCCAGTTAAAGATCTCAGGATAATATCGTCCTGGATTTAGGGTGGGTCCTAAACCCAAAAAGCATGTCCTTACCAGAGAAAGGAGGGGGGGATTTGACTCAGAGACACAGGGGGAGGCCATGCGCAGATGTTCAGCAGAGGCCAGGATGAAGCCCCTGCCTGGGTGACTTGGGGAGGGCAGTGCTGCAGAAGAAAGCAGAGAATTCTGTCTGCAGAAGAACAGGGAGGGACCAGCAGGCTTCCTCAGCTTTGAGCCTGCTTGGAGAGCCTCCCATTCCTCGGACTGCCACCCACATCCCAGACTCTGCCTGAGGCTACTCTATAGGTTTTCAGGAGCCCAGATTCCATGAGGAGACATAGAATTTGCTTTTTATTGGCTCTGTCAACAATGAGAGATCGAGAGCAGAAAGAGCCTAAGAAAATCCTCCAGGACATCCTCCAGGATTTTTTTAAGGTTTAAAGACCCCATGACCCTCCCTCCTGTGGCTCATATCTAGCGCAGCCTCAAGGGCAGTTCTGAGCTGTTTCTGGTTCTGAAAACAACACGAGGAACTAGAGGGCTTTACATCTTTCTACATGGACAGAAGAACCTAGTATCAAATTAAATTCTCCCAACTTTGTTATTGGTCATTGAGATGATACACAGTCAATGCCACCACATAATTATGGTTAAGTCCAATGGCTCACAGTTGATCCATTACACTCTAATTGATTTAAGATAAATAATAGAAAGCATTCAATATTTTGATCAAGCACTAATTTTACACAATTGCGTTGATATCAGTCTTATAAGGGAGTTATTCCATTTTTGTCTTTAATGTAGCAAAACGTAACATTTACATCTAGAGGCCTGGAAAAATCATTACTCCCTTTAAAGGATTTATTATTCTTCATAACCATCCTTTAACACCAGTTATAAATCACTGAATGATTTTTTTTCCTTGGCTCTGTCAACAAGGAGAGAGAGAGCAGGAAGAGCCCTGGCGAATCTTCCAGGACCTGCCTGGGACCCCATGACCCTCCCTGCTGTGGCTCACTGGGCTGGAGTACAGGGCAGTTTGTGGCCCTGCAGATTCTTAGGTTCAAGCTCTCCTGTAAAACAACAGCTTCATTTGAGGTCATGCAGACTGTCCCCTGGTTTGATGGTATAAATGTATCCCACCTCAAATGCAGACCCTGCATGGAATGTGCTGCTGTTTAAGCTCTGGTGAGACTCTGGGCTTCTTTCTTTTTCAAGAGACCACTGAGTTGGCTAATACATCTATCATAAACTAGACTTTAGTACAGTAAGTCGCACTGTATTTTCTGTACAAGGGACGTGTTATGTTTTCATCAAGGCTACTTTGATACCCAAAGCAATATTTAATATACTGATTTTCTCAGAAAGCAAACATATTTCCACCATTTCAAAAAAGATGGTCATCGAGCAGCACAAACAACAATGAAAATAGGTTACAAAGTGCATATACTATCATTTAATAAACCAATAAAAAAATACAATAACTCTGAGGCCATGAATGCTTTACTTGTGGCACTTGAAAAGTCTTATTTCAAATATGGGGTATTTTGTGATATACCTCCCCTCCCTTTGGGGAAGGGAATACTAAAGCACTGTGTCACAGACTTCAAAGTTCTCACCCCAGAAGGCTTAGGGCCTCAGTAATCATCCATTCAATGATTCTGGACTGCAGGTCAGACTCCTGGCTCACCTTGGTATTTCCCATGGTGCTTTATGTAGATTCGGTGATTTATAGCTGGTGTTAAAGGATCGTTATGAGGAATGATAAACTCTTTAGAGGGAGTAACAATTTTTCTAGGTCTCTAGATGTAAATATTACTTTTTGCTACATTAAAGACAAAAATGGAATGACTCCCTATAAGACTGTTATCAACCCAATTGTGTAAAATTAGTGCTCAATCACAGTATTGAATACTTTTGGTTATGTACCTTAAATCAATGAGATGGTAATGGATCAACTGTCAGCCATTGGACTCAACCATAATTATGTAGTGGCATTGACTGAGTATCATCTCAAGGACCAGTAACAAAGTCGGGATAATTTAATTTGATACTAGGTTCTTAAAATTTGCTGCCGTGAAGGAATCTGAGTGATGAATCTAGCAGGAGAAAGCATCCCCAGTATGAAATGGAGAAACAGGTGATCCCACGGAGGCAATGGCTGCAATCTTTCCTGAGAAATGATCATCTAGGTGATATGATGCCAGGAAGCGCAATTCTCTCACATCTAGGGTCCTCAAGGGAGAGCATGCCCGCCAATAGGAGTGAGAGCAGAAAGATGGCCAATCGTGAGAAAAGAAAACCAGGTTGCAGGAGAAACCAGGGAAAAATAACGGGACATAGTGCAGGTTGTCAAAACTGCAAGTCAAAGAATGCAGAACAGAGAAAATGTAAGAGGGGTGGTGGGGTGGGAAGAAAAGACCTCAAACAGCTTTGCAGCAGGACAGGACAACTCCGTGCTAGGGAGATGGATGAGGGCCACACCGTGAACTCCTAGGGAGGATGCAGCTCACATTGCTTGGGAAGCTGGAGGAGGACAGTTGTCCCGGACTGCTGGCTTGAGAGCCAGATCCAGACTCCGTCCAACTGACTATGCAATTACTAACAGCTTTCTGGTGGGGAGAGCTGGAAGCCTTGGAAGCCAGACCCAAACTCATAAGTATACAGTGTACCTCTTAGATATTGGACAGATTTAATTTAATTGGCATTGCTTCTTCATGAGATCTTTCCAAATACATAAATCACTGCTTTTTGTTTGTTTCCTATCACCCTTCATAGAACTTAAAACAGCCTTGAAAAGAGGCAGAGGTGCTTGGCTTCAGATAAGTCTTGTAGTCTTTGGGCAATTATCTTTGTTGAAGGCAGAAGAAGAATAATTGTCCTTAAAAATCTGACACCCACACCCTCTACTAGGAGACCAGAGGGTTGGCGGGAACAAAGAAGGAAGAACAGTTTTAGTCGCATTGCAAAAATAAAACTTTTCAGCAGGGGATCATATTTCGAGGAGTGATTGCAAATGACAGCAAGGGAATTCTGATTCTTAGGCATTTGTTTCCAAGATAGTTAACTAAAATCCACAGCAAAGCATTATTAATACAGCACTTTAGAAAAGGTATACATATATATATATATATATAAACAGACTTCTTACCTGTCTACCCAGAACAAGCAGTGTGATGAAGAATATAGAGAGAGACACAGAGCCCATGGTCTTTAGGTCTTTCCAAATTCCTGGTCTATTAAAAAAACAGACAGACAGATAACAATGCAACACAACAACAGGCACACAGGACTTAGAATCTGAGTATGAACACATGTCAGATTCTCTAGTGCCTGCCTACATCATACACCAGCCATGCAGGTTTCAAATCTCCTTCCAAACCCAGCTTGCATGAAAACAAAATAAAAATCCCTATTTTTAGAGCACAGTATAATAATAGAGACTTCGTACTTTATATCAAGCTATACCAAATATTAAAAGAAAAAGTAAAGGAACATTAACATTTTATTCATAGTTCTGGGATCAATATGGGTAACTGGGTATATGGTTTCTTCAATGTTTTCATGATTACTCTCATAAAGAGACAGTATGCTTGAAATGAATAGTCACACAAGCATAAACATGAAGCAGGGAAATTAATTTCTGCAAGCTACTCTCACCTCTGAATTATAGTTTCATATAACTTTCAAGTAGTCATCCAATCTTATTCACTCTTTCATAGGATTTTGTATCGCAAAGGTACAACAAAGATGAAAATGCTGGGTACACTGCCTGAGTGACCTCAGGTTCAAGTTTATGATAAATGACATCAGTCATTTATCCCTGCCAAGATGTCACTGCATGGGGTGGGCTCCCCCATACCTCGATACCACATTCCATGCAGTGAGCACCCACACATCCTACAGATGCTGACACGTGAACTTTTCCCACATAGGACTGTAACTAGGACCTGAAAGATAAATTGGATTATGCATGGACACCATGTCAAATAAGCAGCATAGACGGTATCCGATCAACTACAAACAGCAGGTCATCACTGTCTGCTTGTGTGCTGTCCTTTCTTTTTGATTTTTCCAGTTTCTCTGTGGGTTCAAGGACAAATGAGGTATCAAGAGGCTCTGGTATAATACTAAAAAGCAGTCAGGTGGCCTTTCAAGCAAAAGAGCCTGGGTTTGAATCCTGAGCTATGGGACGTGGCATAAACCCCTTCAAACCTCACTTTCTTTATCAGTCAAGTGGGTACCAACCAACCACTACACTGCAGGCTATTTTAGACACAATATTAAATACCTATATACCTGACACAGAACCTGACAGATAGGAAACTCTTTCCAAATGGTACCTGTGATTTTTAACATTATTATGGAATGATAAGGAAGGGGAGTGGGGCAGGGCTAAGAAACTAGAGAAAAGGATAAGGAAACACAGACTGGAGAATATTCTTAACAGAATGAAAGACTCAAGTGCAATGAAAAGGTGGATTCCTGCAAGAATGAGGTAACACAATCGCCTGGTCCCAGTGGCTTATGGGCTTAGACCCGCAGAGAACTCTCCAATAAGGTTGTGCTGGCATCAAGAGGTCTTTCCTCCCCATCAAGCCCATGGCAGCTGGAAGAATCTGAGCTCATGAAACTTAAAGAGGTCACCATTTCTCTCTGAAAATGAAGCCAGGGGAGCAGTGCCGCGTTCCTGTTTCACTGGCATTAATTTTATAAAATGAAGTTGCTTTTTTCTGAGCTTGTGACTGAGGTGTCCAACAGCACAGCTGAAGTAACTGACAAGTAAAGTTGTTTAAAACCAATTCTGGCTCTGATTTTCATGAATTTTAAACTCTTTTTACCCTATGTTGACCATGCTGATGCTATATTGAATAGTTAATAAAAATAGTACCACACAGCTAACATCCTAAGAAGCTGGTATAGGCTGAGTTTTTAATTTTCATGTTGCTTTGTGAATATCACATTTTTACAATTCCAGGGGGCCAGAGAAAGCATCTATGACATCCACTTCTTCCACCCACCGTCGTCTGTAATTCCTAAACTAAGAGTAAATATCAGGTCAGAATTTATGATAGTTTCATCAGCACAACAAATCAGAACACAAGTTCCCTTTGCATTTCTGGCTATAGGACCAGATGCAGAGAGCCAGCTCAGGGCCCTCTCACTGACAAACCGATACAGGTAGGACCCGGTTAGACAATTCAGGACCTGGCTGGGTTTTCAGTTAACCATACCAAAAATTCACACAAGCAGCCCATTGGAAGAAATCCTGTCTGGGGAATCCTCACATTAATGCATTCGAATCTTGGTTTATGGGGTAGAAATACCCTGTTCTATCCATCTCCCAGATCTTCAGTGTTCTGTAGGAATAGCGATGGGTGGAGGGAGAGCTTGGAGGAAGAAAGACCAGCAGAGGCTCTCCCTGTAGGACTGGGGAACAGATTTGAAAGTGCAGACCTAGATGGATCTCAGGAATCACAAGGCACCAGCAGCCCAGAGAGCCAAATGGTACACCAATACCCGGCTGAATTTTCTCTTCTGAAGCTCTCTGACAACTACTAGGGACTCCATTTGGTTTTTCTGGATTTCACTTGGACTTCTCAAGACTTCTTGCATTCAGTTAGTGAAAGAGAACGGCCAACTCCTGCTGAAGGCCTTCTCTCTTGCGCGGGCCACTTGTGGATGGATGCTGTTAGGGTCCCTCTAGTTTCAGTGACTAACGTCTCCACCCTAGATCTGCTCCTAGATCACCTAGCTCTTTGTGTGTCTGTAGGAGAGGTCGGGAGAAGGAGGGGCAGGTAGTATGGTGGGAGACAGGAAGAGGTACAGTAAAATCCCAGGACATCTTTCCAGCAGAGTAGTCAATTGTGTTGATCTCTGGATTAGTTTCCTAGAGTTGCTATAATTAGGTAGCACAAATGAGGTGACTTAAAATAACAGAAATGTATCATCTCACAGTTCTGGAGCTTAGAAGTCCGAGAGCAGGATGTTCTCAGGGCCAGGTCCTTCTGGAACCCGCAGGGAATCCTTCCTTGCCTTGGTCTCACTTCAGTTGGTTTGCCGGCAATCTTTGGCCTTCTTAGCTTGCCATCATGTAACTCCGATCCCTGCCTTTAACATCACGTGTCATTCCTGTGTGTCTGTCTCTTCACCTGGCTATCTTCCTAGGAGGACATCACTTATATGGATTAGGGGGTCACCCTACTTCAGCGTGACCTCATCTTAACTAATTCCATATGCAACAATTCTATTTCCAAATAAGGCCACATTTGGAGAAACTGGGGGCTGAAGCTTTATCTCTTCTTTTGGGGGCACAATTCAGCCCACCAATCAGGTCAGCTGTTTAGAGAAATATGAGCTACACAGCTAGTTGTGTATGAGTGCTCTCTTCTCTCTCTCTCTCTCTCTCACTCTTTCTCACCTCTCTCTTTCCCTCTCTTTCTTTCTATCTCCTTCATGTTTTAAGGGTGAAATCTACTTTGGACTCTCATATGTTAGTGTTGTGCCGCCATTGAGTTATGAAGTGGGGAAGATACAGCTAACAGAACTGAGAAAAGTTTCTAACTCTGTGATTTCCCATATGATGACAATGGTAGCCAAAATGTGACGGAACACACTTCCTTTCACATCTAAAAATCAGACGCTGAGGGCCCAGATGCTCACGTGCCTCAGCTGCATAGGCATCTGCAGTTGGCCCCCGACCTGAGGTTGTTGTTAATGGAGCAATCATTTTGCTCATCAAGTTTCAGAGTCCAAAAGAACAGCATACTTCAACATACTGAGTGAGGGAGACGGAGGAATTGCTTAGTGAACCAGCCTCTAACTTGAAGGCAAACACTTCAGATGGAGTAAGAAAGGGCGTTTTCATGACTCTCAGGAGGGAAAGCAGTCCAGGCATGTAGACACAAACATTATCTTACCTGCAAAAACTTTACATTTCTGTGGGTGAACATTTTCAAGAAGAAAAGCACCCGAAGGGGGAACCTAATTTCTGTTGCGTTGTTAACTGTGGCTGGCTCAGGTAAAATCATGTCTTCTCAGGTCACTAATTGGGATAAATTAAAAAATCGGTTCACTGATCGCTGAGGGCCGTGACTTGGAAAGACAAGGCCAACAAGGAGACAATGACTTCCCTTTACCCACACAGCGGCCTCGTGGTCTTCAGCTAATCTATTTTTTATCTTTCTCTCCTGCCTCTGGTTACACCATTAAGTCAGGAAATGCCTGGCTTTGCCCACAAAACATCCCTGAATCCTCAGGAATCGTCAATGTCAAACGATGCAGAAAGCAAATGTCTTGTCCAACTTGTTAATGCCACAGGGTGAGTGTGCTCACGGAACCTCACTCAGCAAGGGATTGGGACCTGGATCACAGGGCCAGAAGACAGCATTGCCCTACATAAAACAAGACAACACCCCAGAAACTGAATCTGAGGTTAAGATGTGCAAGATGAAACAAGTCCTCCCATTCCTTGTCAGAAAATCTTCATCAGCTCGGGTTTGAGAAGCAGCAGGGAAGCGCTAAGACACCTGGATCTGCTTTCATGGTGACCTCTCCCGCTGTGTTAGTTGGAAGCATGTGAAGATCCTGTGGATTACCTCTTTAGGCTTTTCCAAACATGAGTCCCCGAGGCAGTACTTCTTTTCTCCTGGCTGGTGAAGTGTGAGGTCAACAGCTCAGCCAGGGTTCCCACACTTTGTATCAAGAGCATTCCATGCAAGTGTGCCATGAAAATGAATAAATGAGTGGACAAATGATTGTGTTGGCTTGGAAATGGCCCGTCTTCCCTAAGGGGTTTCTGGGCATTCTTTCCTCCCCTGGTTGGACACGGATGTGCAAGAATCCCATGTGAACTTGCAGCGAAGACGGCCCAATTATCATCCAGGGACAGATGGCTGAAAGGCTCCCGCTTTTTCAGAGTGGTGTTCATAAATGCCAAGCTGAACATTCCAGTGCTGCAGCAGAACCACAAAGTAAAGAAGGCTCCTGCTTAGAAATGAGCTCCGGAGCCAGGGGCAGGTCAGAAGAGATGGGAAAAGCATGCGTGGGTGGGGGTTGCAATGGGAGTGGGGCCCTTTGCTGTGAAGACAATCACGTATCCTGATTAATGTAGTTGTTGTTTCCTTTTGTGGAGAAGAGTGATTTTAAGTCAGAAGCCACTGCTGCATCAGCACGGTCTGACGTGGTTGGGCTGGGCGTGGCTTTAGCATTACAAGGAAGAACTGATGATTGGCAG